AGACGGTGGTATGATGAAGAAAACAAGTAGAACTTAATTTCTTAAACATAAAAATGTATAATATGATATTACAAATCTGACGCTTTTGATATATAGTATCATGAATTGATATATAGTATTGCTACCAAATTTTTATCATTCTGTATGACTGAACAGACACACAACGTAAATAGCTCTATTTTTTGGAATGTGAGGCTGATATAGTGAATAATTAAGCTGGCATTTTTTTCCTCCTAATTCATCATGCAGTATTTAAGTCAAAAAATCCACGAACTAACATCATTATCATCACCATAGCAACCATCATCATCATCATCGTAATCATCACTATTAAACTAACCCAATGTGGAACCGCCCTGGCTGGGAACACAGGTGAAACCCTGTTTGCGTTGGAAGTAAAATACCGTGACCCCTTTGAATGTCACCCTCCTCTTATTGGTTGACGAAGACGTTGACGATGTTGTTGTTGTTGTTGATGCTGTAACTGGCGCCTGTAATGTTGTTGTTAACGTTGTTCTTTTTGATTTTGATATTAGTGAGGTTGATGGTGTTAATTTTTTTAACGGTTTGACTGATCTTTGGTTTTTGAATAAACTGGTTGATGTTGTTGCTGATGTTGTTGCTGATGTTGTTGCTGTTGATGTTGTTGCGGTTGTTGTTGATGGTATTGTGATTGAATGTTTAAAAGGAGTAGTGATGGAAGATGAGTTAAGATTTCTTAGGGCAGAACTCTTATAGATTGATTTAATGCTAGTAAAAGTATTAGTAGAAATTGTAGTTGATGTAATTGTGGATGCTGTACCCTGTGACGTCACTGTGGTTGATGGCGTCATTGATGGCATGGTTTTTCCTGAAAATTTATTAGCTGCCAAATCTCTAATGACGTTGTTGTTTATGTTGTTGTTTGAACTGCCAGCAGTGTAGTAGTTTGCTGTGTTAGTGATACCAGAAACATCATCAATGCTTGAACCAATAATGTTGTTGTTGTCGTCGTCGTTGACGTAATTCCTACTGTTGGTGACGTCATTTTTGTTGTTGGTGTTTGTTGCTGTGTCGTTGCTGACGTTGATATTGTGCTTCAGTTTTATATGATTGGCTAATTTAGGTTTGTCAGCATATTGAAAAATGCTCTGATTATTATTATCGTTGTTATTATTAATGGTGGTAGTAGCACTAGTAGTAGTAGTAGTAGTAGTAGTAGTAGTAGTAGTAGTAGTAGTAGTAGTAGTAGTAGTAGTAGTAGTAGTAGTAGTATTGATGTTGTTGTTGATGACAAAGTTATTAATCCTGCTTGCTGATGTTGTTGTTGATGGTGTAGGTGTAGGTGTAGGTGTAGTTTGTGATGTTGATGTAATAGTTGTTACTAGTGACGTCATAGTAGTTGTTGTTATTGATGTTGTAGCCAGAGAAAATGATGATGATGATGAAAAAGAGGATAACAATGGTGATGATGATGATGTTGTTGATGATGATGATAGTGTTCTTTGTGGAGATAACAAAAATGATGATGATGATAACACTGTTGTTGTTGATGCTACAGATTCATGTTGTATTGGCAATGATGTTGTTGTTGATGATGATGATGGTGGTGGTGAAACTAATGGTACTGATGACGATGATGAAGAAGACAGTGATAATGATGATAATGGTGCCCTATGGAATGATGATGATTTTTTGCATGTATGACAGTCATCATTAAATTTGCTACTGCAGAACTGTATTACAGACACTTTATTATTATTATCATTATTATTATTATTATCATTATTATTATCATTATAATTATTATTATCATTATTACCACCATTAAAGTCTATATCCTTATTGTAAATTATGGTATGAACACCATTGCAAATATTATTATCATTATCATCATCATCATCACCATTATTATTATCATTATTATTATTATTATTATTATTATTATTAGTAGTAGTAGTAGTAGCAGTAGTGGTAGTAGTAGTAGTAGCACTGATATCATTACCATCATCATTAACACAATCACCATCATCATTAATCTCATTGGTGGTACAGATGTCATTAATAATGTCACTCCAATGATTTCTTTGACCATCACTGATTTTTATTCTTTTAAAAACTGTCTCCCCATCATCATCGTCGTCGTCATCGCCACCACCACGACGACCACCATCATCATCATCATCATCACCATAACCATCATCATGGTGGCTGTTACCATGGTAGCCGGTGTCAAAAAATTTAGTTTCACTTTCTCTTTCGAGCTTTCTTTTTTTAGACATCCTAGACTGCAGAGTTTAGAGAAGAATTAAGAACAAATATAATTAAAAAAAGTTATACTAAATTACTTATTTATTCACAAACATATCAGTCAATAAAAGATGATAGTAATGAATAATTCATTAATCAAATTAGTATTTACATAAAAGTAAAAAATTANAT